AATAAAATAAAAAATAAATAAAAAATAAAAAATAACTATTTTCCAAAATAATTAGGGAGAAGAGTGGCATTGTTCTACATTTTTTTGCAAATCTCTTTAATGTCTGATTTAATAGATGACAGTTCAATTCTCAAACTGCTCCTGTATTCAATCTGTTGCTATATGTTGTTTTGATTTAAGTAAATGAAGAAAATCCAATCCCACACAGATATATATAGTTGGTAAAGATAACAGCCATTCTTTCAAGTTAAAGAGTATTTCATGAAAAATGTGACTATTTCAGCTCATAACTCCAGACAGTTGTGTAAGTGCTTTTCCTGGAGACAAATGCTGTACTTTTGCGTGCTGAAAAAGTACTTTATGTGCACTTCTCACTTTGTCACAAAAAATACTAAGAAGATGGATACTCAAAAGTTGAGAATTAGTGAAATTAATGACTTTTATTTCTTCATCAAGGGCATTCTTAGGGGAAGCTGACTCTATTTTTAATTTGCTATAGATATTCTCTTTTGTGGTAAAAAACACCTAACATAAAATGTGCCTTTGTGGGGGCAGGGTGGGGGTGGAGGCGGCACCTGACTGGCTCAGTTGGAAGAGTTGGAAGAGCATGGGACTCTTGATCTCAGGATCCTGAGTTCAAGCCCCACATTGGGTGTAGGGATTAATAAAAAAATAAACTTTAAAAAAAAACATAAAATGTGCCCTTTCTTAGCCATGTTTAAGTATACAGTTCAGTAGTCACTATATGCACACAGCAGTATAACAGATTACTAGTACTTTTTCATCTCACTAAACTGAAACTCTGTACCTACTGAATAACAATATTCCCAGGGCATCTAAGTGGTTCAGTCCATTAGGCATCTGCCTTCGGCTTGGGTCATGATCTCAGGGTCCTGGGATCAAGCCCTGACTCGGGCTCCCTGCTCAGTGGGGAGCCTGCTTCTCTCTCTCTCCCTCTCCCTGTGTGTGTGCTCTCTCTCTTTCTCTAGTTCTCTCTCTCAAATAAATACATACATACATAAAATATTAAAAAAAAAGAATAGCAATATTCCCCCTTTCCATATACCCCCCCAAGCCCTGGCAACCACCTTTCTATTTTCTAAGAGTTTGAGAAAAGGACTTTTTTTAACTGTAAATTTTTGATGATAAAGAAAAATGATACTGATACAGTTTGGTGACAGAGCTTCAAAACATACTAAGGCACCAGCAGGTTTTTAATTTTTTTTTATTTAAATTCAATTAATTAACATGTATTAATTGGTTTTAGAGGTAGAGTTCAGTGATTCATCAGTCTTATATAATACCCACTGCTCATTAAGGCACCAGCAGTTTTATCCACCATTTCACTTTACAGCATCAGTGCAGAGTCAACACAGTGAAAAAGGCAAAGAAAGTCTAAGTATTAGTATGAAATAGTCTTGACCTCTTGGATCCCCAAGATTCTCAGAGACCCCCAAGGTTTGACAACTTTGCTTTGAGAACCATTGCTCTGGGCATGTTCCACATCTTAAAATCTAGGTAATAATACCGCTGTCTTAGAATTGCTGTGCTACTAAATAACCTACATAAAGAATCCAGCACAGGGGCGCCTGGGTGGCTCAGTGAGTTAAGCATCTGCCTTCCGCTCAGGTCATGATCCCAGGGTCCTGGGATCGAGTCCCACATCGGACTGCTTGCTCAGAGCTTGCTCAGCGGGAAGCCTGCTTCTCCCTCTCCTCCCAGCTCCTGTGCTCTGTTTCTATCTCTGTCTCTCTCTCAAAAAAAAAAAAGCACAAAATCTTTTTTTTTTTTAAGATTTTATTTATTCATTTGACAGAGAGAGAGGGAACACAAGCAAGGGGAGTGGGAGAGGGAGAAGCAGGCCTCCCGCGGAGCAGGGGGCCCCATGCGGAGCTCGATCCCAGGCCCAAGACAGACGCTTAACGACTGAGCCACCCATGCGCCCCCAGCACAAAACCTTATAGGAGGAACACTATAAATGTTTCCACTCATTATAGCCCAGCTGTGATGGCTCCATGTTAATTTACCTAATCTCTTTATTCACTTTACACCATATTCAAAATTCTATCACATTTGCAACATTTCACAATTAATATGTATCTCCAGGATTCTTTACTTGCCTACTTCTTTATATTAGGTGAGTGTGTGTTAAAAATACTTAATGTAAAATTTACTTTTTTAACCATTTTCGGGTGTACAGTTCGGCAGTATTAAATTCATCCATTGTTGTGTATAGGAAGCTTTTAATTTTAGCCAATTCCTTATTTATTCATTTGGGCCCCTGGGTGGCTCAGTCGGTTAAGCGGCTGCCGGCTAGGGTCATGATCCGAGGATGCCAGGATAGAGCCCTGCATAGAGCTCCGGGCTTGTCGGGGAGTCGGCCTCTGCCCCTCCCCCTTCTCGAGCTCGCTCTCTCTCTCTCTCTCTCTCTCTCAAATGAGAGAGAGTGAGAGCAAGCGAGAGAGAAGCCAACTCCCTGATGAGCAAGGAGCCAGATGCTGGATCCATCCCAGAACTCTGGGATCATGACCTGAGCTCAAGGCAGCTACTTAACCGACTGAGCCACCCAGGCGCCCCAATAAAAAAAGTCTTTTTAAAAAATTAGCCAATTCGTGTAGAAGCATTTCTGTCCTATTTACCTACTCATTTATCAAATGTTTATTTCACATGTGACAGGGCGGATTCAATCACTTCTGTGATTCTACATTTTTTTCTAGATGGCTTTTTCAATTTTGCCTATAATTACTCCAAAATTTTGAGGGGTGAGGTTGGCGAGTTTATTCGAGTGTACAGCCTCCAGACTGGGTTAGCTGATTGCTGAGAAGTATATTGGCTACTGAGCACAGGACTGCATACTTCTAAACTCCCTTTCTGTAATTTACATTACCCAGCAAGGTTCCCCCGCGAAGGCTCTATTGTCGCGAGAAGGCTCTGAGCCAGGTAGGGGTGGGGCTTAAGTTGCAATGGTTCCCAGAACCCTTAGCGAATTTCCGATTCCCTAACTGCGCAGGGCGATGCGCAGGCGCAATAAATACACCTTGACTTCCGCGCGCTTCGGAAGATATAAATAAGGATGCCCTGGGGCTTGCTCGGTCTTTTCGAGAACGATTGGGGCTCTGCGCGGAAGTCGGGTGGTGAGTATTTTTACCCGTTACCCGTTCGATTCGTTAGTTCTAGGTTTAGTACCCCGGGCCCGCCAAGCAGATTTCCTCGTAGGTTTCATCCTATCTAGGATTCCCTTCAGAGGTGTCTGTGTTAACTACACTTACTCAGGCAGCGGAGCTGGGCCGGATGTGGGCCGCGGAGGCCTCGCGAGCCGCGGGTCTTGCCTGTAACCTAAGGCGCTCGCGCCGAAACCTGCAGAGCTGCCACCTCACGCGCCGGACGCTAAATGCGCGGCCCACCCCCTCCTGTTGCCCATCGCCCGGCTTATTACCTTGTCTCCTAGGAGGCGGTGGAATTGCGTGCAGGTCATTTAATTTGACACCTATATGAGCTTAAGAATCGATTTCGAAACGAACGGTTCTTGATTCTGCCACTTGATTTATGATGTAGGGTGAGCTCATGACTCCTGATGATCGGTTTATGGGTAGGAGCCGTAATTGCTGTGTCTGCGGCTCTGCATTTGCCATTTCTTTGGCAGGAGTGCCAATCGCCTGTTGGGGTTTGTAGATAATGTTCGGGGTACCTGGCTGAAAGTTAATTTAGGTAACTGACAGGAGACTGCTGATCGGTATTGAACTCGAATTTCGTTGGCACTTGGGATAGGGTCCACCCCAAAGTGGATATCCTGGGGAAGTCGCCATCAACTGATTGAAATTTATTTCTAGCTCAGTAGCTTGCAAATTAAGTAAATTACAGTGACCAACGTGGATACTCCCGGGAGGTCACTCTCCCCGGGCTCTGTCCAGGTGGCCTACGGGAGCATAGGGCTCTGCCCCGTGACGTACAGTCCCTTTCCACAACGTTGGAGATGAAGCCGGGCCTTGAGTCTGCGCCTGCATATTCCTACAGCTTCTCAGAGTCCTCTGGACGATGACTGAGGGGATAAACCATGCAGGAAACAGCTCCCTCTATCTGGATCTAAGTTGATTGGAAAGAAAAACCTTTTCTCAGCTGCTGTACTATTGGATTAAGCTCTTGCCTACCTTATTTTGCAGTGATCACGCAGGATTCCAAATAAATTTTGACTTGAGGTAAGTAAACCAAAGAATTGTTTTTGGCTTGTATTTCCTGTTGACATTTAAATGATTCCAGCCCAGTTCCTTTTCATGAATGTGTCCTGCCATTTAATACATCCAGATAGAAACTTTTTTTTTTTTTTAAGATTTTATTTATTTATTTGACAGAGAGAGCACAAACAGAGTGGCAGGCAGAGGGAGAGGGAGAAGCAGGCCTCCCGCCGAGCAGGGAGCCTGATGCGGGGCTCGATCCCAGGACCCCGGGATCACGACCCGAGCCAAAGGCAGACACTCAACCAACTGAGCCACCCAGGCGCCCCCCAGATAGAAACTTTGCTGCATTTTTGTTGGCATGTTGACAGTTGCGTAAATATATGCTCATGTCTGGGAAGATAGCTTTTTTTATTCAGTAAAAGTTAATATTTTCACATCTTTCTCATGTGATAGGGTAGGAACTTGCTGCTAATGGAAAAATTGTAGTTTGGGTGAATTAACCAAAGTCAAGATTAGCAAAGCTTGTATGTGAATCCTATAAACAAAACAAATGTGCATACTCCCTCAAAGTCTGTGCATGGTAGCCAAGCATTTGGTGTCCAGTACAAACCCTTTCCGTGATTCTGGAGATGAAGGTGGGTGTATGTACCTGAATATTCCTAGGGCAATGAGTAAGTAGAGAAACCATGGAACCGTAGTAACGACTGGGTTTTAAACAGGCTTTCCTCAAATTCACTTGTGTAGAATGGAATGGGGGAAAATGGAATCTCTTAAAAATGTTTTGAGGGTGATGCTCTTTAATCATAGGCATTCCAACGTGGATACTCCCGGGAGGTCACTCTCCCCGGGCTCTGTCCAGGTGGCCTACGGGAGCATAGGGCTCTGCCCTGTGACGTACAGTCCCTTTCCACGACGTTGGAGATGAAGCCGGGCCTTGAGTCTGCGCCTGCATATTCCTACAGCTTCTCAGAGTCCTCTGGACGATGACTGAGGAGACAAACCATGCAGGAAACATCTAATGAAAACTAAAATTAAAATTTTTAGTGAGATCTTAAGTAGGAGTCTGATCATCTTTTTCATTTGTTTTCATTCAGGAGAGAAGAGGAGCCTCACCAATCATTGGCAGTTAACACCCGTTTGGGTCCTTTATTTGGCAGGGAGGGTTGGTAAAATGAATGATAAATGCTGTTTTTATAAGATAAGCCTGGAGGTTTGGAAACTTGGGCATATTTGACCTCTTTAAAAAACTGAATACTAAATTTGGGGAACAAGTTGAATGTTCCAAAGGACGGGCCCATTGAAATTTAGGGAATGTGGACAGCACTGAATATAGGCATGTCTTAACAATCTGGTCCTTTGATCCACAAAGCCCAAAGATTCCAGAATGCCTATGAGGAGAAAACTTAAGGAAGCTAAGATGCTACTTGGCCTTTTCTACTGTTCTCAAGTAAACTGGGTTTTCTAACTATATAACTGAATGGAAAACAGAAGCCTATCAGATCCTAAGTGTCTTATTAAAGATCCAGGTCTGTTTATAATGTATTTATGAATTAAAATAAAGATGACTGCGTATTTGTGTGGCTCCTTTTTTTTTGGAAATGTGACTGACAACCGTATTCTGTGAATGGAAGTGCTTGTTAGGAAAACTACCTTTGCAGTTATGTTTGATTAGTTCTGCATTAACTAAAGACTGAGCTTGTGTGTCTTGTGTCACTTGGCACTTGTTTACTCTTTTTTTTTTTTTTCTTTTTTTAAGATTTTATTTATTTGACAGGACAGCAAGAGAGGGAACACAAGCAGGGGGAGTGGGAGAGGGAGAAGCAGGCTTCCCGCCGAGCAGAGAGCCTGATGTGGGGCTCCATCCCAGGACCCTGGGATCATGACCTGAGCTGAAGGCAGATGCTTAACGACAGCTATGCAGGCGCCCTGGCACTTGTTTACTCTTATGTGGGAAAATGTGTGTTGATTCCTACCAGTTACCTAGTGTGCAGGTAAAAGCTGGTTGCATTCAAAGGTGGGTAGTGCTTAGGATACCTAATGAATTTAGGTGTGGTGTCTTGAAAGATGAACATAAAATTGACCACTGGACATGAGTGTTAAGAGATCTTGGTTACTAATTAGGCCAAGCCTTCGGTTTCTCACAATATAGTACAGGTAAATTGACCTTAACAAGGTTGGGCATAAATGCTAAAATCACACCTCTGTTAAGCTAGTTAAGCCTCTACTGCCAGTGTTCCAAGTGGAACTTAAGCCTGAGAAGATGGTCATCCTGCCTATGAGTGATGTGAGGTTGAGTCACAATGGAAATCTTGTCAAGCTCATGTACTGGCTGCCAGCATAGGGCAGCTGAGACCCTGAAGGATGGGGACTAAGAGGGAACCATCTAGAAGGTAGAGTCTAGCTCCAGAGTGGGGCGAAATGAAACAAGGTGGGGAGAGGGCTTGTAACAGCCATGTGACCAGTTAGAAGCCATCAGGGTCAAGTTTAAGGGAAGTGGGTGATTTGAGTAATGAGTCTTCCCCAGACTCCTGGAACAGCGGGGCATACTGCTTCACCCATTTGAGGGCCAGAGGATAGAACTGAAGCTAGTTAAGCATTCGTAGCCATGATTCTAGAAAAGAACGTGGGAGAGCTGCTTGGGCTTATTTTTAAGGAGTGTGACTAGGTGATCTGTTAAAACAAGTACACTTGAACTTGTACTTACCTGTGCCAGGCACTGTCCTAAGCTTGGCATGTATTCACAACTCTGAGGTAGGTGTTAGTTTTAACAAATAGGCTGATTGTCCAAGCCAACAACTAAGTAGAGCCTCTGTACAAATGAACTCCTGTAGAATTTCTGGGAGGGAACCTGGATGCCCAGGGCCAACCTTTTCTCTGGTGCTCATCTTTCCTATCCTTACTACATAAGCAGCCTATGGAGAGGAGGTGCTCAGATGTCTGAATAGTGTTTTTTTCCCTACAACCAGGCAGGGAATTTAGTTTTTAGTACAAATGAGCAGGGTTAGGCTGGGTAACCTGCTGGGCAAGAAATACGTGCATTTTTTTCCTCCACGTCCAAAGTGTAGCTGAAGCAAAGCTGTCAGGTATTCTAGGCCCCACCTTTTCAGGCTTCTGCTTTCGACATACTTGTCTGTAGGCTTTTTCCAAACAGGCTCTTCTGGCCTTTTTCTGCATGTAGGCAGTCCTATCAGTCGTGAAAGTTGGAGTCTTGGAGTCAAGACTTCCCTGCATTTGAATCCAAATACCACAACTTGCTATCCATGTGACCTTGGGCAAGCTACTTAACCTCCGCCTCAATTTTTTCATCCATAGAACGGGGATGATAAAAGTACCTACCTCTTGGGGTTTTAATGAGAAATGAGTTAATTGTAAAAAGCTTACAGTTTCATAAAAGCACAATGAGTTTGTTAAATATCACTTCTCAAGCAAACACCTGGGATGCAGTATCCAATAAATTTTGTTGAATGAGTAAAGTCTACCATCACTTAGCTATTACTAACCCAGGTTTATCTCAGAACCAACCCTATCTTTCCAGGAGAGATTAAGGGATTAGTAACTTCCCCAAGATCACCTAACTAGTAAGGAGCAGAACCAGGACTCAAACCTAACTCCAAAACTATATTATATATTATTAGCTTTGAGCAAGACAGTGGTGATGTATGTACATTATTTAATACTCCATGTACCTTGGTAAAGTAGGTACTCTTTGTGCCCATTTTGCAGATGAGGAAAACTGAAGTTGGAGGATATGAGGAACTTGCCCAAGTTACACAGCCAGTAAGTGGCAGAGCATGCCTGTGAGCAAGGCAACTGGCCACAGAACCTGTTTTCAACCTATGTCATATGATGCCTCAAAAAATACTATTTCCACCTGGTTTATACCACTTTTTTGGTATTAAGCTAATGTAATAACTGCTATACCATAAAACCTCAGTTTCATTTGTAATGAATTATAAACATAAGTGCCCAGTTTTACTTGACAGTGGAAAATGAAGTGGAAATGAGTAGTTTCCTGGGGACTGAGAGCCCTTCCCTGGCCATGCCTCCCTCTTTCACCCCTTTCTATCTTTGGGATGGATGGGACCCACATTTTAATGATAGTACCTGACATTTGATGAAGATTTGCCGTGTGCTAGGCATTCTTTAATCCTTAAAACAGTCTTAGGCAGTGCAGGGAATTTTATTAAATCCATGTTCTAGAAAAGGAAGACAAAATCAAAGTTATATCATTTGCCCAAGGCCACACAGAATAGAACTTAAAAGGTGTTTGTCTCTAGAGCCTGAACTCTGCACCACTGTCTTCACTTTCCCTTATAAGCACCAGCACCTTGAGCATTCCATCATGATAGCATTCTGATGTGATTATTTTTAAACTGATGTACATCTAACTTACTAGTTGGATCCTCAAGGAATGGTACCATCTATGTAAGCTCAGTACCTACACTGTGCCTGGCACATGGCAAACACTGGTTGATGATTTTGTTTTTCTATGTTCTATTGATTACTGCTTTTATCTTTATTTTCTTTTGACTAGATGTAGTTTACTCTTCTTTTCCTCATTTCTGTTTTTATTAGGATTTATTTGAGAGAGCGCACAAGTGGGGAGGGGGGAGAGGGAGAGAATCTGGAGCAGATTCCCTGCTGAGGATGGAGCAACACATGGGGCTCAATCTCACAATCCTGAGATCATGACCTGAGCTGAAATCAAGAGTCCGACCCTTAACCGACTGAGCCACCCCAGCACCCCTCTTTCCCTCACTTCTTAAGGTAGAAGTTGAGGTCATTGATTTAAGAACTTTCCTTTTTTTTTTTTAATTTTTTTTTAATATATATATTTTTTTAAGATTTTATTTATTTATTTGACAGAGAGAGCACAAACAGAGTGGCAGGCAGAGGGAGAGGGAGAAGCAGGCCTCCCGCCGAGCAGGGAGCCTGATGCGGGGCTCGATCCCAGGACCCTGGGATCACGACCCGAGCCAAAGGCAGACACTCAACCAACTGAGCCACCCAGGCGCCCCCCAGATAGAAACTTTGCTGCAT